ATATATATATATATATATATATATGTATATGTATATGTACATAGTTATTTGTCGTCGTAACTGAACGGCTCGTGTTTCCCTCTCAAGATGGTTCCGTGACAGAACTAGATTCGATAAAATTGGTCAACAAAAAGAGAGCAGAATATATAGATATAAAGATATATATCGCATTATATTATAGTGGCCAGTAGATATGAAACTTAAAGTCTCGTACGACTATATTAATATGGATCAAGAAACAATCACTGATGGCAAAACATTTGCACGCGATCTATCGATAATAAGCAAACATTTATATAGTTTTATAATAATTATATATTTAATTCATATATATTATTTATTTCAATATATTTCATAGTAATGACATTTAACTATTTCACTTTAATAGTAGCTAATAAATAAATAATAATAGCTTATTAATATATTGATTATGTCGATTTTGACATATGATATTGATAACTGGTTAACCTACATACAGGCTGGGAAGCGCCACATTAAGGCTTCGAAACTTGTTATTAAATATATTGATTTAATACTATGAATATGTTTACAATGGCTAAATACACTAATCCGTTAGTGAGTCTGTGAGCGACGGCTGTTCCCGTTGGGTCGACGCCTGAATCTCCAGTTGAGCAAATCCCAATCTGATAGAAAACAACAACAAAAGGAGTGTTACCAGTATAATATATAAGGGGTAGAGGGGCAAGAGGGACAGAGAAGGGGGTAGAGGAAAAAAGGTAAATTAGGAATGTGATATTGGCGACGACGACGACGACGATGACGACGACGACGACGACGATTATGATGATGATGATGATGCTGTTGTTGACGGTGCTGATTGTGATTATAATAGTGAAAACCATGACAGGTAATAGTAGAGAGGGGGATAGATAGATAGATAGATAAATAAATAAATAAACAAATATATATATATATATATATATAGAGAGAGAGAAGAGATAGATAGACAGTTAGATAGATAGATAGATAGATAGATAGATAGATAGATAGATAGATAGATAGATAGATAGATAGATAGATAGATAGATAGATAGATAGATAGAAAAATAGATAGATAAATAGATAGATAGATAGATAGATAGATAGATAGATAGATAGATAGATAGATAGATAGATAGATAGATAGATAGATAGATAGATAGATAGATAGATAGATAGAGAGATAGAGAGAGAGAGAGAGACACAGAAAGAGAGAGAACTGGCGAGAGAGAATACACAATCCTAACCCAAACGCATTCGATCGTGATGCGAAATATGCGAGGTATGACCACCTGGTGGGTTTGTTGTTGTGCGTGGAAACCGCCGCCCGACCAATCTACTACGTACAGATGAAAGCACGGCCTCTAACAGTTAATATCCTGCGTCACATGGACTTCCCCTGATGCAAAGGAGGGCTTCCATACGGATCGAACTGGTACACCTACCTTCGCACAAGCAACGTCTTCTTCTTCGCTTTTCCGATCAACCACCACCACCACCACCACCACCACCACCGCCGCCACCACCACCACCACCACCACCAATATCGCCACCACCACCAACACCACCACCACCAACACCATCGCCACC